GTAAAGTTGCTTCTAGAAGTGAAGCAGCAATGTGACAAGAGGTGGGGAATAACCTAAATATTTCAATTCCTTAAAAAAACCAAACCCAACACAAAACCAAAACAGCACAACATAGGTCACATCTGAAGAATTAAGTTGATTTCCCCAGTTCTATCCAGCCCTATGTAAACTGGACATTGTCACAAGTATATGGGATTTGCCAGAAAAATTAATCTCATCTTTTGGCTTTCAGAAGATCCCTCAACATTATATTTATGCAGTCCTGTGATTAAGCGCATGATTGGAAAGGATTTAAAACTTGTATGTTATTATTTTAATTCTCAGTGTATGTAAAGAGGGGCCTTTAGAGTTCTATTTATTTCTCGTGCAAGGTCAACAGCCACCAAAAAAAATTCTCAGTGTATGTAAAGAGGGGCCTTTAGAGTTCTATTTATTTCTTGTGCAAGGTCAACAGCCACCAAAAAAAAAAAAACCAAACCCACAAAAAAACAGTTCAGGTAATACACATCAGGTGATTATTTGGCTATACACATTTTTAGATAGCTTACACATGCTCAATTCTGATTTAAATCATATATGCATGCATACATACATGTGTGCATATATACATATTTATAAGAAAAAAATTGAACTAGTAAAAGGCCAACTGACTTGTCACAGGTGGAAGACAACTACAGAATCCTGTATTAGAGACAGATGTCAAGTTTTATGTCTGCACATGACCTACAAAACTATCATTCCACCATGACAGGATACGAAGAACATAAATCTTTTAAGTTTCACGTCCCTACTTATTGATGTTCTGGCTTGCTACTCACCAGCTGAGGGATCTAAACCATGGTAAATCATACGAGTGGTAGACTCTGTAACCTATAGTAATGATTTCGTGGTAACACTTCACTTGGATGCTTAAGACCTAAAATAAGAGAAATAAAAAAAACCTACGTAAATATCGCTGCGGTTGTTTCTTAAAGGCAGTAAGTAGTACTGCAACCTGCGTTAAGGGGAGAAATTATTCTGAATTCAAATTCCACACAGAAAACAGAAAGCTTCAAAGCAAGTCCAAGGAAAACTAAAGCTCCATTTAAACCCTCTCAAAAAACTCAAAATCACTAAGCATGCTGAGAAAAAACACATTGGGCTAGTGTCCTGCTTTTAGCTGGGATAGAGCTAACTTTCTTCCTAGTAGCTGGTATAGAGCTGTGTTTTGGATTTAGGATGAGAATAATATTGATAACACACTGATGTTTTAGTTGTTGCTGAACAGGGCTTATGCTAGTCAAGGACTTTTCAGCTTCTCATACTGCCCTGCCAGCAAGGAGGCTAGGGGTACACAAGAAGCTGGGAGGGGGCACAGCCAGGACAGCTGACCCCAACTGACCAAAGGGATATTCCATACCATATGATGTCACGCTGAACAAAAAAAACCTTGGGGCAGTTGGCTGGGGTGGGGTGCAGCTGCTGCTCAGGAACTGGCTGGGCATTGGTCAGCAGGTGGTGAGCAATTGCATTGTGCTTCACTTGTTTTGTATATTTTTATCATTATTATTTTTTTTTCCCTTCCTTCTCTGTCCTATTAAACCGTCCTTATCTCAACCCATGAGTTTTACCTTTTCTCTGATTCTCTCCCCCATCCCACTGAGGGGGGAGTGAGTGAACAGCTATGAGGTGTTTAGCTGCCTGCTGGGTTAAACCACAACAGCTAGCTGCAAGAATACGCTTGTGAAACAAGGGAAAGCTCCTGACTTTTCTCCATTAAAACAGTCTGGCATCAGCAGGTCAAAAGTACTTCCTGTAAAGAAGGCTCTTCTATTTTTTTCACTACATTTTATCTTTAAATTTAGTTTAAGAAATATTTTCTAAGCCCAGTGGAAAAAACTAGCTGTGCAATACAACTTGGACACCCAGGTCTTCCACTTCCAAGTGTCTCATTAAGGGCAATTAGCATTGATGATTAGAAGCAAAGCTTGTCTAACCCAGGTCTGAATGTCACACCCTCCACGGCCTTCATTTTGTTTTGCTGATCTCACTACTTCAGTGCTTGCCCATGCAAGTCTGGTAGTATGTCCTGTCAGCCTTCAGGCTCCAAAGCACTCTCTGCCAGTTTTGTCTAATCCACAGTCACCAAGCAGATTGCCCTGCCCAGGTATCAAGTATTGCCAAACACAGGTCATCAGTAATCCCGTGCAGAGGCAGGATTAAGAACCTACCCACACCGATTGTGCACACCAGCATGCTAGGCTTTGCTGTATTCTCTTACCACCCGCAGTCATGAATAAATTTCATCTTGCTCAATGTGCGAACACAGTTTAAAAAAGTTTTACATCACTTCAGTAAGTTAATTCTGAAACTCCCCTATGCTGTGCTTGGCCTATGTTATAAACTTAGATGTTATATGCAAGAGAACATTAAAGGATTGCACCTTACAGTGGAAAAGGACACTGGGGTCCAAAGGCGTGGAAGCGTGTGCCTGTTACTTTAGTAGCAGGCAAATGTAAAAGATGCCTCCCAACTTTTTAGAGCAGTCTCAGGGCTTGTCCTCCAAACTTCACTGGATTACCCTTCCTACAAGTCTCTGGACATTTTCAGTCTCAGTATTAAGATTTTGTTTTAAAAGCATGACAACTCTTGTTTAAGTGCGAGATATTTCATTCTGGTGAAATGAAATAATCCATGAACAAAACTGAGTTTTCCTTCCATTTTTCTGTTTAGTAGTCTCAAATGTCAACTTTATGAACAGTTTATTATACTAGAAGACAGAGTTTTTGCTTTATGGTACAACTGAGGAAGAACTCCATTCCAATTTTATACTAACTTTAATTACATTTTGGTTCATCTCTTGTTAGCTTTGCCCATGATTGCAATCTCAGAGTATACTATGAATATACCAAATCATACTGCAAATTGATTAGTTCCTTTTTTTTGTTGTCATTCTCAAGAGTAGCAGACTACCAAAGGAAGGATTGCAAAAAAATAATCACTCTACAATGACCTACACTTTAAAGGGGCTATTTTTGTTCTTCTTTCACACACACAAAAGATAATCCTCCACTAATGAAACAATTAAGTTTGTTATGCCATTCACCTGAAAACAGGAAATATAAACCAGACTAATTCAGATGTAGAGACTGTAATGCAGACCATAATAGTAGTGAAACAGCATTCCAGTCTCTCAAGACATACAGGAAAAAAAAAAAAGGGGAGTTTATGACCTTTGGAAGAAGGGGCAGGCAACTCAGGAGGACTACAAGGCTGTCACGAGGTTATGCAGGGAGAAAACTAGAAGGGCCAAAGTCCAGCTAGAATATAATCCGACTACTGCCATAAAAGACAATAAAAAAATGTTTCTGTAAATACGTTGGCAACAAAAGGAGGGCTAAGGAGACTCTCCATCCTTTACTGAATGCAGGGGGAAACAGAGTGACAAAGGATGAGGAAAAGGCTGAGGTACTTAATGCCTTCTTTGACTCAGTCTTTAATAACAAGACCTGTTCTAGGGGTAGCCAGCACCCTGAGCTGAAAGACAGGGCTGGGGAGCAGAATGAAGCACCCATAATCCAAGGGGAAATGGTTAGCGACCTGCTACACCACTTAGACACACACACAAGTCTATGGGGCCAGATGGGATCCACCCAAGGGTACTGACAGAGCTGGCAGAAGCGCTCACCAAGCCACTTGAGATCATTTGTCAGCAGTCCTGGCAAACCCGGGAGGTCCCAGTTGACTGGAAGTTAGAAAATGTGACTCCCATCTGCAAGAAGGGCCAGAAGGAAGATCTGGGAAACTACAGGACTGTCGGTCTGAATGCAATGCTGGGGAACATTACGGAGCAGATCATGCCAAGTGCCATCACATGGCACATACAGGACAACCAGGTGATCAGGCCCAGTCAGGAGAGGTTTATGAAGAGCAGGTCCTGCTTGACCAACCTGATCTCCTTCTTTGACAAGATGACCAGCTTAGCAGATGAGGGAAAGGCTGTGGACGTTGTTTACCTGGACTTTAGTAAAGCCTTTGACACCGTTTCCCACAGCATTCTCCTGGAGAAACTGGCAGCTCATGGCTTGGATGGGCATACTTTTTACTGGGTAAAAAACTGGCTGGATGGCTGGGCCCAGAGAGTTGTGCTGAATGAGGTTAAAATCAGTTGGCAGCTGATCACAAGGGGTGTTCCCCAGGGCTCAGTACTGGGGCCAGTTCTGT